ACCGGACAGACAGACCGATAGACAGATCGACCGACAGACAGACAGACAGACCGACCGACGGACAGACCAATGGGACAGATAGACAGACAGACCGGCCGACCAACCGACCGGCGGACAGATGGACCAGACAGACAGACGGACGGACGGACGGACGGACGGACGGACGCACGGACGCACGGACGGACGGACAGACAGACAGACAGACTGACTGACTGACTGACTGACTGACAGACTGACAGACAGACAGACAGACAGACTGACTGACTAACTGACTGAAGGACTGACAGACAGACGGACAGACGGACAGACTGACTGACTGAAGGACTGACAGACTGGCTGACTTGGGAGGGTATGCTAGGAGCTCTGCTCCCATGTGACTGAGATCAGTGTCATTTTTGTGGGAGGCGAGCAGCAGGAGGAATGGAGTTGAAGAGAAGCGGCAACTGTTTCGGCATTGCTATTTTTTGAGTCTTCTATTCTTCTTCTTCTTCTTCTTCTTCTTCTTCTTCTTCGTCTCTCCTTCCACTTCGCCGCCGCCTTCTCCACTACCATCCATCTGTGTGTTGAGACCTGCAGAGAGGTTTCGTCTATAATTGGACCCCTCCCGCCTTGTGTTGTTGACTGTCTGATCACATTGTCAGTTCCGTTTATGATTGATTTGAGTCAAGTCTGATCCAACATTTTTTTTTATTTTTTTTTATTTTTATTTTTTAATTTGGACCATTTCTCGATCTATGCGTGTCATCCTTGAAAAGCGCAGGGGCCATGCTAATCTTCATTCTCTGTATCGTTCCAATTTTAACGGATGTCCCGAAGGACTAAGTCTTTTCTTTTTCTTTTTCTTTTTTTTCTCTTTTTCTGTTTCTTTTCCCGGTTCTTTTTTTCCTTTCCCCTTTGAGCAGAGCACTATCCTCTCATTTCTCTTCCCATCAGTGACCCTTGGTCATCTCCGCCTTTGGATCTTCGCCTGAGCATGTTGCACCAAGTCCCTTTTTTTCTTTTTCTTTTTCTTTTTCTTTTTCTTTTATTTGGACCATTTCTCGATTTACCCCTGTCATTTCTCGATTTATCCGTGTCATCCCCCCTCGCACAGGGGCCATGCTAATCTTCTCTGTATGTTTCCAATTTTAAGCGATCGCCCGAAAGACTGTCGCACCAAGTCCCTCTGTCTGAAACAAGGTGAAATTTGAAGTGCAATCTGTGGTAAGAAACTACCTTCTTCCCCCGAATACAACGTACGGTCATTATAGCTGTATTTGAGGCATCTTTCAGTCCAGATACAGCTATAATGACCGTACGTTGTATTCGGGGGAAGAAACTAGGACATGGCGCTGCGCTGAACAGACCCCTACAAGTAAGGAGTTCGAATCCTGTTGAAACGGCGCTGCGCTGAACAGACCCCTACAAGTAAGGAGTTCGAATNGAGTTCGAATCCTGTTGAAACGGCGCTGCGCTGAACAGACCCCTACAAGTAAGGAGTTCGAATCCTGTTGAAACGGCGCTGCGCTGAACAGACCCTACAATAGGGGGAAAATGCCGCTGCGCAGAACAGATAAGGAGTTGGGATCCTGTTGATGTGCAATCTGTGGAATGAAAATAGGAAATGGCGCTGAGCTGAACAGACCCTACAATTCCTCTGCTCTCTGCAACAAGAGAAAAAGGCCGACGCAGAATGGTACACATATAGCAGTTGCTGAATACTAGATGAGGACGGGAAGAGACGAAAAAGAACCTTACGTCCGTCCGTTATAGCACCCATCCATGGCCCAGTCGCATCCACGACAGACACAAACCTTTTACTGCAACTCCCCCGATCGATCATCATCATCATCATTATCATCATCATCATCATTGCATCATCATCATCATTGCATCATCATCATCATCATCATCATCATTACGGCATCATCATCATCATCACCATTCCATCATCATCATCATCATCATTACTGCATCATCATCATTATTGCGTCATCATCATCATCATGAGCATCATCTCCATCGTCATGACAGCTCGCATCATCATCATCAATAGCGGCATCATCATCATCATCATCATCGTCATCGTCTTTGTCGTCATCATCCAGATTACCTTCATCTTCTTCGTTATCATCAACATCATCAACCGCATGACCATTGGCACCGCACGATGATCATCATCTGTGAGAGAGAGGATGTGCATTGAACCCGAGTTTGTGCAGCCTGCTTTCTACAAGGCCATTACGAGGATGATGTGTCGACTTCCAACGTGCGAGAGACCCAGCGTGTCTAGCCACCTTCTACAAGGTCTTTTTTTTTTTTTTTTTTTTTTTTTTTACAAGGTCATTGAGAGGATGATGTGCCGACTTCCAACGCGTCTAGCCACTGGGAGGATCGAATTGAACGAGGAGGATAAAAACGAGGAGGAGGAGAAGGAGGAGGAAGAGGAGGAGGAGGAAGAGGAGGTGGAGGCGGGAAAAGAGGAAGAGGCGGAGGAGGAAGAGGCGGAGGAGGAAGAGGCGGAGGAAGAGGAGGAGGAGGAGAAGGAAGAGGAGGAAGAGGAGGAAGAGGAAAGGAGGAGGAGGGGGCGAGGAAGAGGAGGAGGCAGAAGAGGAGGACATAGAACAGCCGCAGAAAACGAGGACGTGGATTGGATCGATCGAATCGGACGAGGAGAACAATGACGAAGAGAGGGAGTAAAAGGACTGGAGCAGGAGAAGAGGAGGAGGAGGAGGAAGAGGAGGAAGAGGATTCGAACACTTGACCTATCTACCTCTGCACAATCGCGCTTTACCAATTCGACCACTCAGGACGTCTCCAATCGGATCCTGCTCTACCAATTCTAAAATTCAGAATGAAAGTCTTTCCCAAAAATTCTAAAATTCAGAATGAAAATCTTTCCGTTGAGGGTTCGGCGCAAGAAGTCGCAGAGCATCTGAGCCGAAAAAAGGTGCGGCTCGAAAGCACAAAAAAAAAAAAAAAAAGGCAGAAGACGAACTGAAGAAGGGAGCTTTAGAAAAAAGAAAACTAGTGCAGAAGCTCTTGTCCACCCTGTATGCCGTTCTACAGCGTGGTTGGGCGATGGTAGCGCCAGGAAGCCAGCTGCCAGCGCAGCTGCCAGCCTGGCACTTGTTCGACTGTGGGGATACGGAGACCCCTGTTCAGCCATCATTTACAATGCCCTCCCCCAAGCTCTACTTCTTCTTGGAGTCCGCGTTCCTCCTCTCGACGTTGCAACTTGTCACCTCCTCCTCCTCCTCCTCCTCCTCCTCCTCCTTCCCCCTGCAGCCTTGTTGATGCCCCATCCACCATAAATACGCACACCCTCCTTCCCCTCCTCCGCCTCCTCCCACTCCTCAGCACTCCACTCCCTTAATCTCCACCAGCTTTCATTAACGCCCTCGTAGATCCCGAGAAAGAAAAAAAAAAATCAACAATTAACAGAAGCTTGTGGAGCTTAGACGTGGCGTTTCACTCGCTCCTTTTCTCTCCACATCTTCTCTCTCTCTCTCTCTCTCTCTCTCTCTCTCTCTCTCTCTCTCTCGCGCGCGCGCGCCCGAGGAAGAGAGGGAGGAGGAAGAGGAGAAAGAGGAAAAGAAAGAGGAGGAAGAGAAGGAGGAGGAGGAGGAAACGGAGGAGGAGGAGGAGGAAACGGAGGAGGAGGAGGAGGAAGTGCAGGATGACGAACTCACCTGGGCGCGGCTTTCGACGAAGGGAATGGACGTCGGCTGGAGGGCAGGGCGTGGCGACGAAGGCGAGGGACTTCCTCTGGAGATCTGGGGCACTCGAGGGATGTCCGGCGGTCTACCGGTAGGAACGCGCGCTGCAGGAAACTCGGGGAGCAGGGACGTTGGGGCTCGCTCCAATACTATGGACATGCACAAAAGAACAAAAAGTGTGGTGTATCTTTCCATCTTCTAGCGGAATATTCGCTCTCGTTGTGCACATTTCGAAAGTAGTGAAGCGAGATCCGCTGGCTGCTTGCTGGACAGGGCCAAAAACCAAAACGTGCGCGGTGTTTTTCTGAAGGCGAAATTGCATCTGTACCCCACTTAAAGATGGGAATACCGGCTATACCCAGTCCCAATGCGAACTTGCGTCTATACCCAGAAAACGGATGGTGGAAACTGTTTGCATGCCCAGGACCGAGTTGGACCCAGGTTGGTACCGCAAAATTGCGGTTATAACCTACTACCGGAATGCACAAATTATGGACATACCCAGGCAAAAATTATGGGCATACCTGGGACCTGGGGAGGAGAGGCCAAATTGTTCATATGCCATGCTGCCCAGATGGCTGAAATTATAATCATACCCAGCAGCCGTTGGGCTACAACGGTCTACTTGGTGAGCGTGAGCATAATTTCCTGCTCTCAATCCAGGGCCTGCGGGATTGGGTACACCTACTGGGCACTATGCAAACTTGAACGCCCTCGGGGTATAGATGCAAGTTCATATTCGGACTGGGTATAGCGGGTATAGATATAAGTTTGTATTCGGACCAGGTATAGTGGGGTACAGATGCAATTTTCCCTTTTTTTTACTGTTGAACCTTGCCGAACCGGAATTTTAGTGCACGCAGACTTTTGCCGAGATTCGGACCCGAGGCCAGACAGCCTCAACAACTGCTACATAAGGCTGCCCTCAAGCAAGTCCAGCATTCAGTCTGGCTATGCTGGTTCAACGCTGGCTTGCCTTTGATGCTGGCATTCTGCTAGCGCGACACTGGCTGTGCATCAGCGTTGCGGACGACGACACAAGGTGGAGGCTGCACGCAGGCACTGTACGCCAGGCTGCTGAGGTGGCATGCTGATGTGGCGCTGCCTCTGCTATATGTGGCGCTGCCTCTGGTCTACGTGGCATGCTGACATGGCGCTGCCTCTGGTCTACGTGGCATGCTGACGTGGCGCTGCCTCTGGTCTACGTGGCATGCTGACGTGGCTCTGCCTCTGGTCTTCATTGCATGCTGATGTGGCACTGCCTCTGATATATGTGGCGTTGCCTCTAGTCTATGTGGCGCTGCTCCTGGTATATGTGGCGATGCTCCTGGTATATGTGGCGCTCCTCCTGATCTACGTGGCGCTGCTATTGGTCTTCATTGGTGATGTGGCGATTGCCACCTGTCTTGATTGCTGACATGGCATTGTCCACGCTGTCTACATGAGGTGACTGGTTGCGAGGAAGAGGAAGATCAGGACTGTGGAGAGATCGTGAATACGTACCTGGTGTCTTCATGTTGACATTGCTCCAGTGCTGATGAGGGACTAATTAGACATGCCATGTGGCACATTGAGGTTACTTCAGATACTCGTTCAGTCTGTTGACTATTGAAGTGGTGTTGGAGGAGGGAGCCCGAAGCAGGAGTGGGCATTGTATTTTATTTCCTCTCCTTTGTCTCATCTCCCTCCTCTTTCCTTCGTCTGTGTATGATTATCTCGTCTCATTCTGTCTGGACACGATCTTGATTATTGGTAATCATCAGTTGGTTGACATTCATCTGGACTTGCATTGTTGATAACTGTCTTGACGATCTGGGTTCATTGCACATAACTTACATCTGATTAAAAAAAAAAAAAACGTTGGGCTTCCCGCCACTCAAACAGTTCCTGTTCACTCATCTGACTTGAAGGTCGAAAAGAGACTAGATATTCTTTATTATTGAGGATGATTTTGATCTTTTTTTTTTTTTTTTTTTTTTTTCCACATACTCACGAAACTCCCATCCTACCACTTCTCTCGATATATCTCTTGGCACACCCCCACTCCATTTCAATCTTTCCTCATGTGAGGAACATCACTTTCTACTGGAGCAACCTGACCAGACAGCGGACGAGGGCACTGGCGATGAATGAGCTCCACCATTCAGCCCCTGTTGAGGCACTAGCGTACAAACCTCATTATACGGGAACCTCGGGAGCTAGGCGCATAGTTCTTAACTAGTCCCGTGAGCAGTGAGGGCACTTATAGGCAGTGTCTAATGGTCTGCTAACCAATGTCTAACCCGTGATTCCCCTACCTCTAAGTACGAACCCAGCACGGCGCGGTTCTTATATGGCTACTGTTGGTTGTTGAATATGCTGGTTGTTATGTGAGCTAGTGTGATTTCATAGTCTGTATGGATGTATGTGGTTGCTTTTTGCTACTAATGAGCCTTGCTTATGTTTGTTCGTTAGGGAGAATTGACTTAGTGGTAATGGTGGAGACGTCAACCCTCATCAACTACCCCCGACCACCTCTGATAGCCTACCTCCCCAGAATGGATCTACTGACATTGAGAGTAAGACACATCTCTTAATTCGACATTGCTTTCCCTACAAGGCACCCCTTCCCACCAAAGGACTGCCACAATATCACCATGCACCCAAACAACCCCTTACCACTCTCCGACCCGAGAGAGTAGCATCCATCCCTCGTCAACTTTCTCGTAAAAAAGGAACACGTCCCTACCCAAATCCGTCAAGAAGATCATCCCTAACTGATATGACGAACAATATATATAGATATGATGAATGAGCATAGTATGAAGTTCAACTCGGGACCTCCAAGTTACAATATTAGAGCTCTCTACCCACTGAGTTATTGAGGTCATTAGTATGTAAGGGCGCTATGCCAGACTCGGGGCAAGTACGTGGGGTGCAACCTACACCAGCCAATTGTGCTCGGGGGAAATTGTAGGCCGACAAAGCCAAACCCGCAACCTCCCCGTTGCAACACCAGAGCTCTGCCACTGAGCTATCACGCACTTGCTTACCAACTGACCGTCTCGAAGGTAAGACGCTAAGCATGCCACAAACACTATCGTGGGGGCAATGGGAATTGAAACCACGACCTCCTAAGTGCCGCTTGAACGCCTTACCAACTGAGGTACACCCATCAAGGTTGCGATCTCCTTGGGCGAGGCCATGTAGGTAATAAGGTTATGACCTTCGTTGTGAAATACTTTCTTTTTTGGTGGGGGCTGAATTAAGCCACTCTTCGCCCAGCTTATGGGATATGGCATCCGCCATGGGAAAGAAGGCCCAACTTAGGGGATATGGCATCCACCAGGGGAATTCGCTACCAGACTAACAAACTTCCATACCTTCTAGTCCAGGTCCAACCGAGGCGAGGGCGCTGTTGGAGAGACTAACCTAACCCCTAATCGTCATTAGCACTAAGTGTCACTGAAGCAGCACTTATCGCTTGCGATTAGCGCTACCGCCTCCTAGCCTCCAGATTCCTTCCCGGTTTTCCAAAAGGATTTCGGAGTATAATAATTTACCCTTGTCTGTGAAACCGGTCCATCTCAAGTTGCCTGACCAATTATTAAGAAAAGTTGTCATAGTTGTTTCTTTATCCCCGAGTTTTCTCCTAGCAGAGATCCACTCAGATGCCATATCAATTCTGATTGCCTGTCTAAACTGCGAAGAAATTGCTCTAAACTGCAAAAAAATTGCAGCAGGGGTCAAATCTTCCTTCATCAATCGTCTCCACCTTCTAGCCATCCGTAGGCACCAAAAAGCTATTACTCGAAACTTGTGAGTTATTTTCTCAAAAGATCTATTACTATTCTCTGGGCAAAAATTGCCTCTGATGACTGCACACACGTCGTTTTCCACATCTCACTACTACCGTTTTTCCCGGACCACAAGGCGCATGGGACCACGTGATGGGGTGGGTTGTGTTCGAGGGAAGGTGGTGGTACCGTGGTAGAACGAAACCATGATGGACAGTTTTTGAAGGAAGGCTATGGAGACTTAATGGAGCAACTCTCCCAATGTCCCGTGGATAGGGTCTCACTGCACTACTCTCCAAATATGCAAAATGAGAATGAATCTTCCGCTAGAATGTGGAAAGATACACCGCCATATTTTTTGTCTTTTGTGCATGTGGA